CTCTCTCTCTCTCTCTCTCTCTCTCTCTCTCTCTCTCTCTCTCTCTCAGCACTGGCTAGAGCCCAACAAGCCCGTGGTGAGGCAGATGAAGTGTAAGTGTCACTTCTGCTCCGTTTGTGTTTTTCTGTGTGTTCTGCATCAGTCTGAGTGTACACAAACAATGAACACGACAAACAGACAACAGCACAGAGAGTCTGAGGTCATGACAGCATGCGCACCAGAGTGGTAAATCCACTGGATATTCAAACAATTAAAAAGCAAAACATCCGATAGCAGCGTGTGCCCTATTGAATGGGACATTCATTATGTGTGGTAAAAAAAAGAAAAGAAAAAGTGTATATACATTTGTTGTTTGTAATGTGCAAATATTATTTAGGAAATGTACTTGTATACAAGTTTTATCACCGACTTCATCCCCAGGACACATTGCTCACATGCACTCACCATGAGTAGTGACAGAGCCAGACAACACCACAGGCAGACAAACAGAGACAGACAGAGTGACACAACAAACTGCCAGAGGGACAAGTAGCCCGTTTGAAAATAAACTAACAGACCGAGTGAACTTCTAAGACATTGCAGGGGAGCACAAGCCAGAAGGTAGAGAACTCAGTCGTCAAACAAGTAAACAGGCGGCCTTCAGTGGACGTGCAAGTTTAACCAGTGACAAGTTTCATGGATCACGCAAAACTGAAGGGATGATGCATTTACATATGTGCAAAATATTTTGGTTAATATGTTCATGCTTATCCCCGAAAAACCAAAGGCTTTTTCCGGGATAAGGATAAACTTATTGTCGATTGACTGTTTTTTTTTTGCTGCTCTGCAGCTCACAACTTTCTTGCGTTTAGTTTTTTTCCTTTTACTCTTGATGTTTGCCTCTGATATGACTCATAGTAGATAACACTCATCTTCTTATGCTCTGCAGCTAATCAATAAGAAATAAAAAAAAGCTCAGCGTGATGTCTTTAATTTGCTTGTGTTGATCAGTGTAGTTTCAAAATTGCAGATGTTAAGTCCCAATGCAGTGAAGTGTGAGATGTTCTTTATTTATAGAAGCAACTGTTTTCTTACCTTCCTGGAAAGGAGCTGTAGCAGCTGAAGGAACAAGGGACGATAAATCTGCTTTTGCTTCCTAAAATATTTAAACAAATTTAACTTTTTCAGCCACCTTTTATCAAGAGCTGAACATTTTATTTAGAATCCAATGCACCTCGGTGTTCTCTTCTTACATATTTTTACATTTCGATCTATTCTCGAAAAATTGTCTCGTTATTCTATTGGACTGATGCCAAATCCTGATGTCTACTGTTGGACCTGATGCTCTGCTGCTATACGAGCATCACACTTAGAACAGTGTGATGTAATGCTGTAATGCTCGTCCATTATCTGTGCACTCAGCAAAAACATATCTGAAGTTAGCCCACCCTTTTAATGGCTGTCCTGTTCTTTCTGCCCTGCTATAAATTAATAAAGCAGCTGTTAGCGGCGCGCCCTGCTTCATCAGAACATGTGCGTGAGGGCAGGAGAGGAGAGGATGAGGAGATGGAGGAAGAGAGAAAGTGGGGGGGGGACAAGTGATAAAGAAGAAATGTGTGGGGGCTAATTCAGAGGGCTAGAGAGAGGAGACAGTGATAGATAATGTAGAGAGAAAAGAGGAGATTTGAGAGACAGTTGGAGATGAGAGAGGCTGCAGAAAGAAAAAGGAGATGAGAGAGAGGGACGGAGGACGAGTGTTGAATAGATCTGAGTCGTACTGACACATCATTTCTCCCTGTGGCAGCATTTACTCTCAAATTAGGATGCATGACTTGTGATTTATTTTCTCTTTGTGCGTCTCAGCTTACATGCATATGCGTCACATCGTGTGTGTGTGTGTGTGTGTGTGTGCATACTATTGTGCCAATTCACTTTCCCTTGAAACATTATTTTTTGTTGTTTCTTTTAAAAAAAGCAATTTTTTAAAGCATCTTGGTCCCTTAAGCCCCGGCAAAAAGCAACTCAAATTTTTTGGAGCGCGGGTGGGAGGATTGCGTCTTTCATATTGCTCAGCATGTATAATGTAGATGTGTGCTGTTTTTCATAGCTAGATAATACCGCAGAGGTTCCCGTCACTAAAGGCAGAGTGGTGAGAGCACGTTAGATGACACTCTTCTTCCTCCTCTTCTGCCATTTTCTTTTCCCTTTTCTGCCTTTCTGGCTTAGTTTATGCTTGAAGTTTAAGCGTTAACTGTTCATCACATATAAATGGGTTGCATGTCATGTATAGACAATTGAACTGCAGTATCATGTATTAGTCATGTGCAAAGCTTATGGTAGACCCTTAAGTTACAAGACATGGAATTTAAACACAAGACATGAAACCTTGCTTACTTTACAGTAATTGATGAAAGACAGCATACAATTACCTATCACTTCAACAATCTAGCCACATATGACCTACCATACCCTAACAAAATAACTTTTGGCATGGACCCCTAGGTGGGAAGTTCATACTGAATGAACTTCCCATTCCCAAATCACATTGCTGTACCCCAGCCTTGGTGAGATCTCCCCGTCATTTTGGAATCAAATTTCATATATGTTCTTCGATAACCACTCCCTCTGAGTTTCTGAGAGATTTCTCCAAAGTCCCTTATCTTACTGTACTGTTGGAGTTGCATATTGTAACTGTGTGTGTTTGTGTGAACTTATTTAAGTGTGTGTATGTACGTATGTTACCATGCCTATTAAAATATCATTCAAAGCTCAAATTCTCTCCAGCAGCAACTACACACACACACACACACACACACGCGCACACACACACACACACACACACACACACACACACACACACACACAC